AACCGCTGCACCGGACTGGCTTTCATTCCCTCACTTTTTCTGTGCATGAAGATCAACAGAGATCCCATCACCATTGCCCTCCTTGAGATATTCCTCATCTGCTCACACCCATTTGCACATGTCCATGGTCTCTCACACACCAAAGGTGAGCAACTGAGCTGCCCTGTAAGCAGAATTTCTATCAAACTACAGCGGACAGTGTCAACATTGCTGTTGTGTTGACTTGTGTACAAGAGAGCAGCTGAGATATATTACCAGGGCGAAGGTGGTGGAGGGAGATCCCTCGTCTTGGATCAGAAAGGGGAAATGACTATTAAGTTGTGCTGCTTGTTGCCTCTTTCAAGCATTTGCTGTTCATCAGTAATATATCAATTTCTTAAATGGCACGCAGCCCAAGGATCCTTAGTGCCACAAAATGCAAAAACCGTGCGGTGGAGTAAATAGCAAAAACCAAAAAGACGCTTTTGCACAGTGCCACCTCGTGGACAAAGAGATCCCACCTTCTTGAAATTGTCATTTCAAGTTCTGCTCCTTTTTTAAAAAATTCTGATGCAACAGAGGGAAATCTGTATCTAATAAAGGGTATATATAGGCCTTCAAATGGCCATCCCATGCATTTTTCTTAGGGTTTTCTTAGGCAAGGAATCCTCACAGGTAGTTCTGAAGCAGAGCCTCCAACACCTGGGATTCGTTGGCGGTCTCCCACCCAAGTCCTAACCAGGGCTGACCCTGATTAGTTTCCAAGATCAGACAGGATCTGGTGCCCTGAGGGTATTGAGGCAGGATAATCTCAAGTCTCAGCTGGGATTTTAACTTGCAACCTGTGGATCCATGGTGATGGTTTCCTGAAGGAGCTTGGAATACTTATAGCCATCATAGACTTAAATGCTATCACTCCTTTCTTGGGTGCATTTGGGGATATGAGGGTGCTCTTTGGGAGAAGGAAGAGCAGTTATGCTTGTGCTTTTTTGTGACAGACCAGTCCCTCTGCCATGCTGATACAATACACCTTTCCCCCGTAAACCCAGTTTTATTCTGCTAAGGAATTAATGTTCTTCCCAGAGATGTGAGCAGAAGTGAAGATCGTACGCCACGGTTGTGTAATGTAACTCTCCACATGCCAAGTGATGCATTTAATGGTTCTATGGTCCCCTTGCATTGAATGGCAATGATGCACAAGGGAAACATAGTGCCCAATGTGCAAATGAATGCACAACTAAATGAGTAGGCACAACACATGTTGAGAAGACACAACACAATGACCATATCCATGCCCAGTGCTGCCGAACATACAACACTGAACTGAATATGTTGCTTCCGCATTGGACAAAAATGTCCAACTGGTGCTGTGGAGGGATTTGTGCATGTGTAAAACACCAACCCAGCATGGTGTAGTGGTCTGCATGTTGGACTCTGGAGACCAGAGTTCGAATCCCCATGGAGCCTTAGAAACCCATTGGGTGAGTCACACCCTCTCAGCCTCAGAGAAAGGTCATGGCAAACCTCCTCTGAACAAATCTTGCCAAGAAAACCCCAGGATAGGTTTGCCTTAGGGTCGCCATAAACTGGAAATGGTTGGAAGGCACACCACCACAGCTACAAACACCAACATCAAATATTATGAGATATGTGGGAGTTTATAACTTTTTCATATTATAACTAGGCATATCCTAATCCTGATGCTTTAGAACATTTCCCCAGTGCATCCATTATCCATGCTGACTGGGAGGTTCTGGGAGTTGTGATCCAAAAAAGTTACTTTCCCAAGCTTTGTGATATTATGACCATTGTGGAACAAGAGAAAGTAGAGAAGGGAGGCTACAGGAATTTAAAAAAAGGCTCAGCAGACCTTACTAAATGGGTAAAAATAACTGATCAATACCGTAAGGGGAATTTTAAAAGCAGCAGCAACAACAGAATATGCTTCCAGCTCTGAAAGTCAATGATATCGGAAACATTTGCAT